GGAACTGAAGAGAGAGGGCTTTTAAAGGAGACTGAGACAAAGAGGGGGCTAATGAGAAAAAGCAGAGAGAGCAGAACGTTAGAGATTGAATTAATAGATTCTGCAGAGTAGGAGAATAGAGAGAGAATGAAGCAGAATGATGAAACGGGGGTCCCTATGTGCTCCAGAAGTCTAAACCTATAGCAGCATAACTATAGAGATAGCTCAGGATCTAATTAATTGATTGATTTATTTATTTATTTATCTCAGAGCGGAGAAATGTACTCGTTACATCAGCTCAAATAGTCAAAGAAGAAAAAATTTATCAAAAGGAAGAAAAATGTGCATGGGATATATATACAGTATATACAGTGCGTCCACATATGACAGCTTTTTTTGTAGTAGGATCATTATACAGTGTTATTGCACAGGGTGTTTACATGGGTAATGGGTATTTATATAAATGAATGTTTATATTTATATATGTAAAATTATTGCACTGGTTGTCACATATAGAGAAACAGGTTATTGCATTGGGTATCAAATAGTAATAATTCTATACATCAGACTTTTGCTTTTTAACCACTTTTATAAAAAATTAACGACATATTAGTTCAGTTAATTTAAAAAATACCAAAAAAGTTGCTCATGTTTATATTTCTCAATGTTTTGTTTTCGTTATTAGAAAAAAATAAGTGTATCAAACTTAATTATAAAATCAATAAAACATACATTATCAATTGATGTTATAGAGTGTTGAACTGTTTAAAAAAATTAAATCTTGCAGTATCACTCTTTATTTCTATTATTTTTGTTTGTTTATCTGATCTTTTTTTTATGTTCTTACAGTCACCTGATGGAGAACCAGATCAGTAACATTGAAAGAGGAGCCTTTGATGAGCTGAAGGAGCTGGAAAGACTGTGAGAATAAAGAGCAATATAAGAAAAAATACAATTCCAACTGCTGAGCTTACTGGAACTTTTATGTCTTACTTATTTCAGTTTTTTGTGTCTTTGACTCTACAGTCGTCTGAATAGAAACCGTCTCAGCCAGCTTCCAGAACTGCTCTTTCAGAAGAATGAAGCATTGTCTCGACTGTGAGTGCATACTTCTAAGACTTTATGTAAGGTTTCTTGGAAAAAAAGCACTGTAAAGATACGTTCACAATGAACGCGAATTTCGCAGCTGGAGCGAAGGACTCCTAGTTATCTGTTATCTAACACCTGATTGGTCACCCTGCACATTAAGGCGAAGCAAATCGTTTACAGAGACTCGATTTGCGTTAACCCTAACTTTGATGGGTGACTTTGACAGATTCTTTTAATGGTTTTGATGCACTGCGACACAGGACCATGAAATAATTAAATGCACACTTGAAATAATTATATATATTTTTTAAAATAAAATGAAGAGATATTTGATTAAATTAATAACACATTTATATATTTAATTCCTTATTTATTTAATGAATTGGACATTTAATTTATTGTTTATCGCTGTATTTATTTATTTAATTGTGGCACTTTATATTAGTGATGTGGTTTTAATTAATGAATGACACATTTATTTATTTAATTCCACATTTAATTAATTATTGACACATTTAATTATTTATTTAACGCTGTATTTATTTATTTAATTTTGGCACTTTTTATCCTCCATACTTGACTGAAGTGCATTTAAATGCCAATCAGGCATTTCTTTTTTTATCTGCCAAAGGATCCCAAATGTGAGAAACATGTTCCTATCAAATTCGCCTATAGAGGACGTACAGGCTGATGACTGCTGCCTGTTTATGCCGCTGGCATAAAACTGCCTGCATGCATTATATACAGTTTTTATGAAAGCAATACTTGATTTGCATTGTTAGCTCTTTGGTTTTCAGTGTTGGTGTTAAGTTTACTTATTCTCTACTGATTTCATGTGTAACAGTAACATTAAGATTACTGACTTATCCAAGATATTGCTGTAGGCATGTCTGATCGCTAGACATGAACAGCTGATTTTCTATGTGTGAAACTCTGTATTGAGGATTGCATTTGTGTATTTGTCCTGTTTTTTTCTTGTCGTTATTTTACTGTTTCGACTATCTTACTTTGATGCTTCCAGCAGAGATGGAGCTGGCGTGTTCGATCAGTCAACACACGCATAGTCACAAAAAGTGGCACGCTTACAGTTTAAAGCCATTAGCGCTACCTCCAGCTGAAGTGATTTCTTGTCCTCCTGCTGTGTTGATGGAATCTATAAAAGCTGATGTCCCTGGGAAACACAGACACGATCTAACATCTGTGTGCTGCTTTATAGGAGCTCAAATTTGATCTCTTCAGCAAAACTGCCTTCTGTCCTCTTTCTGCAGTCACACGTTTCCATCTCCTCTGCTTTATTTAATGTGAGATTTTATAGGTGACTTCCATTTTCAGCAATAGGCTGATTCAAACTGACTATCACCTAATACATGCTGATGTCATGAAAATATACTCTACAAATTTACAAATAATTTTCAATTATGTGTTGCTGTAAGGAATTATTGATAATAATTAAACATCAACTATAGAACAAGTGCATAAAAAAAAAACTGAATCCTGATTAAGTTATCATACAGTGAATCTTAAAATAAACAGTGTAATAATGTTAACCTTTACTATTAAGATAAAATCATATAAATGAAGCGTAAACAAACTGAACACTTATTAACACAATATTTTAAAAAGACCCGCCCTCTCCACTTAAAAAAAAAAATTGCTCATGCACAACCCTGTATCCGCTCCCAAGAGGAACACCTATTAAAAGCGTGCAAGAGCGTGCACAAGACTATTTCACCTCCTGCACGCTCTCTTTGAAAGTTACTGTTCTCAAAGCTCATTTAACATTACTTTGCCCTGACGTT